GCACCCCAAACCCTGCAGCCTTCACCTTAAACCCAGACCCTAAACCCTAAACCCTCAACCATAAGCCATAAACCCTAAAACCCTCTGACCTTCCTCATCACTCCAAGGACTCCAAGGAGGGTTTTGAATTTCATCCCTTAACCCTACACCCAACCCTATAGGGTTTAGTGTTGAGGGTTTAGGGTAGAGGGTCTAGGTATAGGCCCCAAACCCCGCACCCTGCACTCCGAAATCTTAAATCGGTGCCCTTATAAATTCCAAGCCCCAACCCCACCCCACCCGCCCCCCCCCTCCCTCCGTGAGGCGAAGCCTGGTTCCGATCCTCAGACTCTTTTGCATCTGCACGACGAACCGGGCCGCAAGGAGGGCTGGAGGGTTTAGGGTTTAGGGTTTAGGGTTTAGGGTATGAAGCCCTAAGGGTCCAAGTGCAGAAATAGTAGGGTTTCATGGTCCAAAAACCGTTCAGAGTATGGTTTTGGGGACCTAAAACCTTACTATTTGGGCACTCGGACCCTAAACCCTAAACCCTAAACCCTCTGGGAAGGGCATTCAGTCTCGGGGTTCCTGCGGGCGGAGGTTCAGCGACGGTGGTCCGGGGTTCTTGCTTCCTGTAGTCGAGGTTGCGTTAAAGGGAGTACAGTTCTCCGCCCAGGTACCCCTAAACCCTAGACCCTAAACCCTAAACCCTAAACCCTAAACCCTAAACCCTAAACCCATTCATTCTTGATGGTTTGGAGGCTCGCTGGGCTTCGGAAGTTAGGCTTTACGGGCCCTATACCCATACAGCCTCAAATCTCATACCCATCATACCCTGAAGCTCCCTCCCAAAGGCTCCATGTACCTTCATAGTAGATACTTAGGCCTTAAAGGAGTCCCTATATAGGTACTTTAATGCCTAAGTATCTACTCTAAAGGTACATGGAGCCTTTGGGATACCCATCATACCCTGAAGCTCCCTGTCACAGCGGGAACCTACAGCTGAAACGTTAACCTTGCATGCGCCTTAGGCTGAATTTCAATGTCAATGACTACACCCCAAAGCCCTAAATTTTAAACCCTAAACCCTACACCCTAAACCCTAAACCCTTAACCCTTAACCCTTAAACCCTAAACCTTAACCATGGCAAATTTAGGGCCCTCAACCCTATTGCCCTCGACATCTTCCGATGCCGCTGCAGGAGGCAAGTGCCACCCTTTGTGGGCTTCACGAGTCAGGGGCCTGGGTGAGCTGGCTCGCCACTAGCTGAGTTCCCCAAATAATAGGTTTAGGGGTTCAGGGTTCAGGGGTTTAGGGCTTAGGGGTTTAGGGCTTAGGGTTTAGGGCTTAGGATTTAGGGCTTAGGATTTAGGGCTGAGGGTTGAGGGCTTAGCGGCTTAGGCTTTAGGGTTCAGGGCTGAGTTCCCCAATACCCAACAAGCATTTAAAACTTTTTAGGGCTCAGGGCCTCTCTGAGTTCCCCAATACCCAGTTAGGGCCTTTAGGGTTTAGGGTTTAGGGGTTTAGGGTTTGGGGTTTTAGGGTTGAGGGTTTAGGGTTTTGGGGTTTAGGGTTTGGGGTTTAAGGGTTTAGGGTTTAAGGGTTTACGGTTTAGGGTTAAACTTGTTGGGTTCTTGTAGTTTAATTCGTAATCGGACAGTTTAACATTTGATGGTTCAATTATCCATTCGGGTTTAGGGTTTAACTTGTTGGGGTCTTGTAGTGTAACTAGTAATCGGAAAGTCTAGCCTGTTGTTTCTGTGGCTTCTTGGGGAAAGTAAGCTACTAGACAAAGAAAGGCACTACGTTTTAGGGTCGAGGCTGCCCAGAGACTCCAAAACCCCTTAATTAAGGAATATACCTTAAGTTATAATAGGAACCCTAATAAGATTTCAGGTATATTCCTTAATTAAGGGATATTGGAGTCTCTGGGTGGGTCCAGGACAGCAGAGGCCTTGGGGTTAGGTGAAAGGCATCGGCTTTGTACTTGCAGGAACCCTACGCCTTGTCAGCCATGAAGCGTACACACTTCCCTAGGGGTCCGTGTGCCGAAATAATTATAGTAAATACTCTGGCCTCAAAGTGTCTCAAAGTACCTATTATTGAAAATTAGGGAGTAGATTGCGGCCAGATTATATACGAGTTGGTTCCATGGACCTCTAGGGATTTATGCGTTGGTGGTCTGGTATACAGAGCTCGGCCCTTCTCCTCGTTATGCAGGCACATTGTCATACCCATACGGTTGATGATATAAACCTAGCAGCCCTAGCATTACCCACAATCAGGAATATACCATAATTCCATGTGTTTGGGGTCCTTAAGGTAATGCAGGATTCATATCATCAACTGCAGGAAACCCCGGCGTTGAGTCTTAAAAAGAGACGCATTAAGTGCTTCGGGTCTTCGGGTTCAGTCTTGCCTTAAGTGAGTACGAAACAGTACTCACCTTGTGCTGTGTGCATCTATAGACTGTTTTTACTGGTTCGCCGATGCAAACACACCCCCACGCACAAAGAGTTATGTGAAGCAGAACTGGGTCATTTCAAGTCAAGGCCTCCTTAAAGGGACTTCTGAATAATAGCGTGAAAAACAACTTGAACATGAACATGATGGCATAGCTCGGGGAGCCACGCGATGGGAAGCAAATCAGCGAACGACCGTATGTCGTGCCTCGCATGTTCGGGGTGCAGTTGAGCAGAGTAGGTCCTTACCACGACAGGGTTTAAGTGCGCATTCAGTCTTTTCCTGTCGTGACCCTCTTCGTCCGCAGCCACAGACCTCAGATTCCTCCCAATGATCCTGGACAGCAGTTTATTACATGCGGTAGGGACACAGACATTGCGGGTCATAGATTGCGTGATAATCATCCCGCGGAACTCCAGTCATCGTTTCTACGACGACTACTTGAAACCACCAACCACCAACTGCTGGATGGCAGAAAAGTTCCGTTGTATGAGAATTTGGTATGTCTGCACCACTTCACTGCCCCCATAAAGCGTCTGGCCACATCGACTTCGGCTGCATATAAACCAGTGGAGGTTGTGTGAAGCTGGTGGACACGCTTTCTGCACGGCTTTAGCAAGTATACACCATGATTCCTCGGTTTGTAGTGCACCTGCCTTGGCGGACAATGCTGATTGTGCTGCTGTTTCAATTCGAACGTGATTTGGCTGGCTTCAGTGTGCGGAGACAAAAGCCTTTAAGACTAGTCAAGAAGGAGGCCGGGCTATCTCATACCAAGAAAGTCGACATCAGCGACCGACCCCTCAGCAAAGACGGCAAGCTTCTCCTCTCCAAAATCACAGAAGCTGGGTCTAGGGGCGACTGGTGGCAAGTTCAAAAGCTGTTTGCTGGCTATGCCGGAACGGAGTTGCCAATATTTCATGCTGTCATGCAACATGCTTTCAACCTTGAGCAGATTCGAGCTGGTGCTGAGGTCTATAGAAAGCTTTGTGCGATGAAGATTCCACAGAACGCACCAACTTTCTCGATTGGTCTTAAAATCTTTGCACGACTTGGGCTGAGGGATGACGTCGAGGATATATGGAAGAAGGCAAGAGCAACATGTGAACTGGACGAGTATCTCGCCGGAGCACGTATTTTTGCGGCTGCAGCACACGGGGATGTGCCAACTGCAGCAAGCATTTTGGATGAAATGAACAAGACGGGTGTTCAAAAAAGTGTTTGGCATATCAACTCTGCGATTCGAGCCTGCTGGGAAGCCGAAGGCAAGAATGACAATGCTGCTGATTTCTTGTTTCAGTATCTACGCTCCCTTGGACTCGAGCCAGATGATATCACTTACACATGTCTAATCGGAGCCTATTCTGATGCCAGCTTGCAGAAGATACAGGCAGCATACCAGGAAATGAAAATTCGCGGAATTATGCCAACCACGGCCTTATTGAAACCTACTTGGTGACCGTGCTGCGCAAGCCAAAGGACGAGCCTTGGACATTGACAGATCTAGTGGCAAGCAAGCTTCACCAAAGGTCGCCTGCCCGCCTATCAGCTGCCAGGGCGTCGCTCAAAGAGTGTCGGAGCGCTGGCATTGGCATGACCCACCTCTGTGAGCGTATAGATCTTGCTCTCCGAAACATGGCAATGGAGGAGACTGGAGAATAGCTCTTTCACACGTATTTCTAGCATGTCTCTGCGGTGTCACAAGTCCGTGGAAAATTGCAGGTTCCCGTTCAGGTTCAGAAGCTGGACCGTCAGATTAGGTTCCGCTGTTCTCTGATACTGCCAGAGCAAGTCTAGACTTTAGCTCTTGACCTAAGTCCTTGACACTACACCCCGGATCTCTTACCGCTTACCTATTGAGTCTTCATCCTTCGCAACACATTGCCCCGAGCCTTAGCACCCCCTGCTCCTCAACTTAGTCCTAAGATTATCCAGACACGACTAGTCAGTCCTTCCCTTTCTTCCGATATCCAATCTGGCCTTCGCACAGTGTTCGTGGGTTTCAGGCTGCAGGGTTCGGAGGTTGCACTTTGAGGCAAGTAATCGGGTCTTTCAGGTCTCAGGATGAGGAGGTTAGTTAGGGCACGGAACTTCGAAGATTTTGGGGACAAAGCCCTACCTTGTAGCTGCACCGGCGAGGGTCTGGACTCAAATAGCTGAGGCATGCATAGCCCTCAGGGTCCATGTGCCCATGGCTTTCGGTGTCCCAGTCCCAGCGATGGCTGGGCTTGCGAACTGACAACCAACAAACCCTCAACCCTAAGCCCTAAATCCTAAACCCTAAACCCTAAATCCTAAACCCTACACCCTTAACCATATACCCTCAGCAAAAGGAAACAACAACCAACAAAGCAAAGCCGTGGAACCCCACCCAGGTCGTTGGACCGTGACGCCTACCTGCGCCTGCTCGAACACGGCAACGAAGAGAGCTTGGCCGCCTTCCTCATGAGGCAGGCCGTTTAGGGTTTAGGGTTTAGGAGTCGGAGGCGCTGAAACCCTACCCTGAGGGTCCACGCTTTTTTGAATAGTAGCTACTGTGGCCCCAAAGTACCTTTTTCGCGACAACTCTGAGGCCGAACTATATACTGTTTGGGCACAGGGGACCCTTAGGGCAAAGCCTCCTAAACCCTTCAGGGTTTGGGGTTTAGGGTTCCTAAACCCTTAAACACGCTTGAAACCCTTGACTCTGGGACCCGTGGGTTGGACTTCAGGGGGTTTGGTTTAGGGGTTTGGGACTTATGCTGTCTGATTGGTTTAGAGTTTAGGGGTTTAGAGGTTAGGTTGGGGGTTTAGGACTTACAATGTATGACTGGTTTAGAGTTTAGAGGTTTAGAGGTTGGGGTTTAGGACTTACAATGTATGATTGGTTTAGAGTTTAGGGGTTTAGAGGTTTAGGGGTTTAGGACTTATAATGTATGATTAGTTTAGAGTTTAGGGGTTTAGAGGTTGGGGGGTTGGGACTTATAACGTATGATTGGTTTAGAGTTTAGGGGTTTAGAGGTTGGGATTGGTTTAGAGTTTAAGGGTTTAGAGGTTGGGGTTTAGAGCTTATAATGTATGATTGGTTTAGTTTAGGGGTTTAGAGGTTTGGGGTTTAGGGCTTAAGGGTTTAAAGCTTTAGGGAGGCGTTCAGGGAGTATGCTTTAAGTATGTCCGGTGAAAAACTGCTTGCAGAAGCCGCTGTTCTTCTGTGTCAAACCCTGTCGAGCTCTGGCCCAACTTCTACAAATCCCTAGATGTCGGGTTTAGGGTTTACGGGTAATTTGTCCTGACCAGCCAGGTCGGTTTTGACAAAAGTGAGCAAGATATTCCAAGATAGAATAAGTCTTGAGCTTGTGGTCTAGGGTTGAAGCGACGCTTCCAGTCATTATAAATGTCGTCAATGGTTGTCCGAAGCTTTTGCTACAGCATTGCACTGATGATGTTAAGTTGATCGGTTAGGCATTCATATCCATACCTACTCAGTCGCATGATCCTCCATGTAGTGTGCTATGGCCATAGCCGGTTGACAGGGCCGCAGAAGACGCCCCCCCTGAATCCATTGTGTACTTGTCTATGTATGTGTGTTTGTTGGTTTGCTTGTTTGCTTGTTTGTTTGTGTGCATGCATGCGTGGACGGACAGATGTCTGTAACTAGGTATGTTTGTGTGCATATGTGACTGTCTGTGTATGTCTGTGCGCTGGTGCATGTGTGTGTGTGTGCGCGTGCATGCATGTGTCTGTGCCTGTGTAGGTGTGTACGCATTTATGGTTGTGTGCTTTATTACTTTTGTCTTTGTGTTGCTCGATGTTTCATTAGTCTACACTTTAGATGGTTGTGTTTGCCTGTTGGGCTGCCTGTGGGTATGGTCGATTGCTTGCTTCTGTGGCTGTTTGCTGCTAAGTTTGTTTGTGTGATTGCTTGTGCATGTGCTTGTTTGTGTTTATGCTTGCTTGTTTGCTTGTTGGTTTACATCTGTGTGCCCATGCGTCTGCATGTGTATACACATATGTAGATATATTTATATATATATATATATATACACACACACGTTTACATACATATCCGTATATACACACATACACATGCACGCATAGCTACACGAAAGCAAATTGCACAGAGAATCATCGTCATCAAAATACATGTGTTTCTTTTCATTAGACAGGAGCTGCTTAGTAAAGGGGTGAAGGGATTATTGTGTCACGTTATATACTCCCCAACTGTAGTTCAAGAATTAGAGCCCCCACGTTGGGATATTTCACTTCGTAGAGTTGCCAGGCTTGCGGCAAGTCAAGGGAATGACCTCCAGGAGGACATCGTTTCGACGGTGTCTGAGGTGTGGGTTTCTGCACTTGAGCTTTGAGGGTCCAGGGCTGAGGGGTTCAATGCTGCAGACTTGTGCAACTGGTGTTCATTCAGTTCTTGTTCCGGCTAGACATGGGGCAGCGAGCGGGGTTTCTAGCTGAGGCTTTTGCTTTCCTAAAGCATCAGCCCAGTGCTGTTCTACATATAAGTTGATATTGATCATGCAAGGCCACGTTGAGGCTTGTTTGTGTAGAAAACTCCTGGCCAAGTAAGGCCTCAGCGGCAAGCCTAGCGTAGAGCTACCAGGAGCGTCCGATGACTTTCATCGGGATCCGGTAGTGTAGATGCACGTGCATCCTTAAAGGCTTTCAAAGATCATGCAGCAGGCCGCACCTAACAGCACAATTTTCAACCGCAACAGCCCAGACCTTCCAATAGCCCTTAATTGAGGAACATCCTGAAATCATATTAGGGTTCCGTTGTAATTTAAGGTATATTCCTTAGTTACAGGGTTTGGGGGTCTCTGTGAGGCACAACTTTGCCAGCCCGAAACCTGACATAGTTCGCAGCGAATGCAACACATCCAGCCAGAGCTCGAAACCCTACCCTGAGGGTCCATGTACCCAAATAGGAGATACATTGCCCCAAAAAGCAGAGGAGACGTTGCTCATCATTCGGCGTTTGGCCAAAGAGTGCTGGTGGGAGAAGAAGGACCGGTCGGTTTCGCTAGCGGCTGTAGGGTTGCATAGGGGAGTACAGTCTTGCAGGGGTTCAGGGTTTAGGGTTCAGGGATCAGGGTTTAGGGTTTAGGGTACCAATAATTGATTAATATAGTTATTTATATCTGCAGAACTTCCCAATACTGTCGATCAGTGTCCTCATTGCGCCTATTCACAGATAATGTGGTGGGATCTTAAAGCAAAGTACTGCCCAGATAGGCTTTTCTGCTGACGGGGCTTCCCCGCTTTATACCTTTGGGATTCCTTCACACATTTACTTACAGCTATATCGACCCAGATACCTAGTCCCAATGATGTGTACAGTATGGAGTTCACATAGCTCCGAATAATAGAAAATGGGCGGCACTATCCCCCTTTTATCCTAGGGTATGCCAACCAACCATGAACTCTAAGCCTTAAGCCCCAAACCTTAAACCCTAAACCCTAAACCTGAAACCCTAAACCCTACACCCTAAACTCCTAAGCCCTAAGCCCTAAACCCTAAACCCTAAACCTTAAACCCTATACCCTAGCCCTTCAAACCCTACCTGAACCTCGATGCTAGAAGACCACGGCTTGTCCATGGAACCCCAAGGCAGTTCGACCTTACCTATCCCAAAGGCTCCATGTACCTTCATAGTAGATACTTAGGCCTTAAAGAGGTCCCTATAGAGGTACTTTAAGGCCTAAGTATCTACTATATAGGCACATGGAGCCTTAGGGTATACTGTCATAGCCTACCCCTTGTTCAGAGTTTAGGGTTTAGGTTTCAGGGCACCTACTTTCTTAAATAGCAGATCCTATCGATAAAGCCAGGTACGTTACAACGGATAGGGTGTATAGGCTCCAATTTCCCACTCGTTTGACGGATGTAGAGTTTGGGGTTTTGGCAGTCGAAGCATTTACCCTAAGGCTCCATGTACCCATATAGTAGGTACTTAGGCCTTAAAGTATACTATATAGGGACCCCTTTAAGGCCGAAGTATCTACTATGAAGGTACATGGAGCCTTCGGGTTACCTCACTATGGCGGGGCATTACTCGAATGAGATGCTCCGGTCATTCAAAGATGCCAGGGATGTACATATGGGTAGTTCTCTAAATTAGGGTCCTTTTTTGGGGTCCCTTTTATAAGGGTGCCGTACTATTTTGGGGACCGAAAAGGAACCCTAATTTAGAGAACTACCCATATGCGTTTCCTTGCAACGTCCCTACACCTGATAGCCGTACGTCATAAGCCGCAAGTTGGCTGGTAAGCATTATCAACCTGAGACCCGGGTTAGGGTTTAGGGTTTAGGGTTTAGGGTTTAGGGTTTAGGGTTTAGGGTTTAGGGGTTTAGGGTTTAGGGTTTAGGGTTTAGGGTTTAGGGTTTAGGGTCTGAGAACCTTGCCACTAAGCCTAGGCCCCTAAGCCGTCGATTCCGGCAACGCTCAAATCCTAAACCCCATTTCCTGAAGCAAATATGCACTGACATAGAGGCCTTAATAAGTACCTTTACTATTTTGCGGGGTTCCTTATTATAGTTCTAGTATAATCGACCCCAAAACCCTATTCTAATTGTTGAGGCCCCTACATGAAACACTAAACCCGAAGCCCTCAACCATGGGCTCAAGCAAACGCATCCGATTTCGAGAAGGATTTTGGCGAATTGCTGCTCTGCTTGGGCCACGTCCTTGGGGCTGCGGGCGTTGCGAATGTTTGGGTTCGAGGCTGTGGCCTGTATATAGGGGACGGCACAATGAGACTAGAGTTTGGGGGCATAATAAAATTAAGCGCTAAGTATATTGGGGGTATCAATTAACCCAAAGGCTCCATGTACCTTCATAGTAGATACTTAGGCCTTAAAGGGCTCCCTATAGAGGTACTTTAAGGCCTAAGTATCTACTATAGAGGCACATGGAGCCTTAGGGTAAGGAAGCTAATTAGATTCAGTGTTTGAACTTTTGGATTTCGGACTTCGGGGTTTCGGCATGTACGATCAACAGTCTCTATGTTTGGGATCAAGGTTTTGAGAGCACATCCTTGGGGTAACATTGGGGTTAGTAGGATTCTGCGAAGTGTGGGGTGGAGTTGTGTATATGGCATACGTATGGTATCCTTTGCAACTCCATACCACCAGAGGCACTAGTTACAAGGAGATTGTCAGTTCTCTCGAGTTGCGTTTCAAGACTGCGCCCTGTCTTGGATGATTTAGACCCCAGACCCTGTTCCCTAAACCCTAAACCCTGAACCCTAAGATCGCATAGGTGGAATAGCCCTTAAGCCAAAATACTAAAGCGCATGATAACCTCCAAGCCAACTAAATTAACCCTTACTTTCCCCCAAAAATAAACCCTAAAGCCTATCCCCTCCCCCCTCCCCCCCCCAAACGCCCAGGAATGCCTGCTTCCAGCTGGGCTGTGGACGCGGAGCCGTCAACAGCCACAGACCCGTGCATCGGCAGCAGTAGCAGATAGGTTCCGGTTTAGTGGTTGAGGGGTTTCGGGTTGAGGGTTTGGGTACCCTGAACATCCATAACCCTAAACCCTAATTTGGGGGCATTCTTTCTCAAGCCGAACCAATTTTGTTTCACAGGCTTCAAAACGGACCAACCCAGTGTAGTTTTTGTACTTCATCAAGCACCAAAACGTAAGCAACTGCGTACGGGCGTGGCAAATGGCTCATATACTTTTAATTTAAAGCATCATCAAATTACACAAAGGGATGGTTTTAGAACGCGCGGTACTATCACATGTAATATAGGGGCCTAAATAATAATACTATTTTGGGGGTCCCTTATTAGAGTTCTTATTCTAATTACTAAGGCCCCTACATGTAGACTCAGTTGTTTCGGCAGTTACAGGTCCTGAGAGTCCAGGGTCCGAGGTCTAGTCGTGCAGGGTGTTCAGGGCCCATAGGGCTTATGCTAATATAATGGGCTTAGAAGGCTTACCGGAGTGCAATGGTTGGGTGCTCCGGTTCATTGAAAGGGCTTGATTGACGTAAGGCATTTGGTACAAGTGCAATGCCTGATATTTTGCCAAAAAGACTCTTTTTCTGGTCTATTCGGATTTAGAGGGCGGCTGCTGTTTGTTAGCTAATGAAGTTCCCATATATCACACCATGTGTGCATCCGCGGCGTGCTGCTTCAACTGCTTTTTGTAAGGACTACTAGATAAAGGTGTTTCCAACTTTGAGAAACCCCTATGGCATGCCACGCATGTTCTCCTCTGCAACCGCATTGAAAGACTTTATCGACCTCAAAGACTAGTAAAACCTCACTGGAGCAGACTTCCGGCATAAGCGAAGGTTCAGGAATTTACCAGCAGAGCATAACCTGTGGCAGACCCCTACACGTTCAGCTGCAGAGTTTTGCAGACGGAAAAGACGAGCATGGCAAAGCCATGAAGGGAGTATATACCTTAAATTATACTAGGAACCCTAACAAGCTTTAAGGCTTGAGGTCTCCTTTATTAAAGGGTCTCGGAGTCTCTGGGACTACCCTTAAACCCTAAACGCCCTCAACCCTCGACTTACAGGCTCAGTGGGACATCCACGACAGTTCAGTCTGAAATCCCACCCCCACCGGACGATGCTGCAGAGGCCAGGTTTTTGCCTGCGGTAACCCTAAACCCTAAACCCTAAACCGCACTGGCCACCTAGGGCACGTAGAGGCGAGTGCGGTCGTAAAAGTCCGTGTATCGTAGATCAAAAACAAAACCTAAACCGAGGTAATCTGGCTGTTTCCTCCCGAGAGTTCAACTGTCCTACAACTTCGGAGCACCTCTTGTCACCGAATAGTGTCGTTCTCTGAGTTCCCCAATACCCAACCTTCAAAGTTTTTGGGTTTTTAAGTTTGTGGCTCTTTATAGTTTGGGCGTACTCGGAAAGTTTAACTTTTTGTTTCCGTGGCTTATGGGGGAAGTAAGTTCTCGAGTTACATTTCAATCGGTCGCATTGTTTTGGTATCGGGTTCAGCATGCAGGTTGTCTCATCCAGGACGCACGCGTTAAAACCACCATGTCTAAAGTACTTGGAGGATGGTAGTATTTCGATTTTGGGGTATAGGGCACAGCAGCAGCGATTCACGGCACATCTGTCACACCACGATCAATCCAGCGCAACCGGAACCGACAACGACAGCAAATACGACCACTGCAGACAGAGACACATCAGCAGCAACAGCAACAGCAGTAAGAACAGCGACGTCAACCCAACCACAACGACAACAGGGAGGACATTGAAGAAGATGCTGATGATGACTGTGATGTTGGTAATGCCGACGATGTTGGCGAAGCCATTGTTGCCTTCCAGTCCACTCACGCCCTAACTCACCTTGAAACGTACCCTCAAGATGAATAAGTGACAAGTCCGGAACCCCTACGGAACACCCTCAACACAAAGCTTGAACCAGTCTCTGAACCCTAGTCGAAGCGTTAAACCAGGAAGCCTAGGTATAATAAACCCTTAACCCAAAACCTATACCCTAAACATCCCTAAACCCTAAACCTCAAACTCACTTCCAGGAGTCGAAGACCTTGAGCTTCGTGGTGGAGCCTTCCGCTGGATCGGTTCCTCTCCGAAGCCGTGCAAGACGTTTCGGTTACGTTTTATGTTTAAGGCTTGCATGGTGGTCTTGTACTCCCCCCCACCCACACCCCAACTCCAGGGGCTGCCTCAACCCACCCTCAAAACCCTGCTTCTTTAAGGATTTGCATACGGCCATGGAGCCCTGAAAAGCCTGGAAAGACAGGTTCCTCAGGGCTTTTCAGCTCCGAATTTCCGACGTTTTGACAGGTTCGAGGCCTGGGTTTGGGGTACCGGAAGGGTCCATATATATATATATATAGATCGTACTATTATATCGAGTTAGGTCCCCCTAAAGCCATGATGAGGATTGTCTTTTGGGGCCTAAGTTCATAATGGATACCTCAAACTACCGAAACATAGTTTTCCTAGGGTCCCTATAAACTCGCGATAGTGTCAGTTTTATAATCGGAGCCTACAGAGACATGGTAGTTTAAGATAAGATGGTGGTGTTGTTTGTTCCTGCATGGCTTCGTAGCGGCTGGAGTTTTGCTCGTTGAAAACGTTTAGGTTCTAGGACTTGCCATGACCTTGCAGTCCCCCACCATGCACTGTTTGTTGAACAAACAGGTTTAGTGTCTAGGGTGTTTTGCACACCGCGTTAAACTTCCATCTGCTGTCAGTCAAGGCTCTTGGGGGCACCACGGTCTCTTGGATGCGTGCCTCGGTGCGTTTATGGTGTACGTAAAGGATCAC